GACTGCTATTCAATCTATAACAGTGAAAAAAGTTTTTAAATCCAAGCTATTATGACACCAGTGAGTGGTGGCACTGGGCACCGTATCCACTGTTAGCGTAACACACCCGCTTTAAGGACACTGACTGCTATTCAATCTATAACAGTGAAAAAAGTGTTTTGTTTTTTTAAATCCAAGCTTTGTGTCACAGATCTAAGTGGTGGCACTGGTCACCGTATCCACTGTTAGCGTAACACACCCGCTTTAAGGACACTGACTGCTATTCAATCTATAACAGTGAAAAGTGTTTTGTTTTTAAATCCAAGCTATTGTGACACCAGATGTAATTGGTGGCACTGACTGGGGAAATGGGCACAGTATGCACTGTGAGCCTGACACAGAAGCTGGCAGCAGTGGTAGACAACTGACTGCTATTCAATCTATAACAGTGAAAAAAGTTTTTTGTTTTTAAATCCAAGCTATTGTGACACCAGATGTAAGTGGTGGCACTGACTGGGGAAATGGGCACAGTATGCACTGTGAGCCTGACACAGAAGCTGGCAGCAGTGGCAGACAACTGACTGCTATTCAATCTATAACAGTGAAAAAAGTTTTGTTTTAAATCCAAGCTATTGTGACACCAGATATAAGTGGTGGCACTGACTGGGGAAATGGGCACAGCATGCACTGTGAGCCTGACACAGAAGCTGGCAGCAGTGGCAGACAACTAAGTGCAATTACATTACATAGAAAAATAAATAAAAAAAAAAGCATACCCTAACCCTAACCTAGCTATGCTTTTCCCTATCTTATGAACAGCAGCTACACTTTCCCTCCTCTTACTAAGCATGCAGCTTGAGAATGAATCTAAAATGGATGCCTTCCAGGAGGTGGGAGGGTCTGCTAGGGAGGGTGTGCTGCTAATTTGCTGGAATGTGTCTGCTGACTGTGAGGTACAGGGTCAAAGTTTACTCAATGATGACGAATAGGGGGCGGGTCGAACCGCGCATATGTTCGCCCGCCGTGGCGAACGCGAACATGCTATGTTCGCCGGGAACCGTTCGGTACATCACTAGACAGGGCCAGCCTTAGAGATATGCGAGCTGTGCGGCCGGTGGTGATGAGACAGAGCCAGAAATATGGAGGCGGAACTAAATCGGCAGCAGAGGCGGCGCTAAACGGCCAGCAGGGGCGAAGTTAAGTGTGGCCTCTACCAGCTGCCCGGTAACACTGCACACTGAGGGGGAAGCAGGTAGGAGTTCCTGCTACCTCAACTGCTAGAAAGGGACTGCAGTCTCCACTCCTCCCTCTTCCAGAGGATAATGGAGAAAAGTACCTGTCTGTGCAAATGTGTGTGTGTGTGTGCCTCTGTCAGCCTGTAAATCTGTGTGTGTGACTATCCATCTGTAACTGTGTGTGTGTCTGTCTGCAAAAGTATGTGACTGCCTGTCTATCTGTAACTGTAAGTGTGTGTGTGTGTGTGTGTGTGTGTGTGTGTGACTATCTGTAACTGTGTGTGACTGTCTGCGGTTGTGTATGTAACTGGTGTGTGTCGGTCTGTAAATGTGTCCATATGGAAGTCTGTCTGTGACAGTGTGTGTGACTGTCTGCCTGTAACTGTGTGTGTGTGACTGTGTATGTAACTGTCTGTGTGCCTGTCTGCAACTGTAACGATAACTTACCTTTCCCCGCCGGACCCGCGCAGCGCGGCGTCCTCTTCCAACACTTCCATGAGGCGGCTCAGTCTTTCTGACGCCGGCCGCTCGCAACACGCCCACTTTTATGACGTGGCCACGCTCCCAGACCTTTTGGGGGCGTGGTTTTAAAGCAAAAGATCCCACACTATATAAAGGCAACCATGGCGCCCTAGTGTGGTTCTTGTTTGAGTCCTCTAGCGCTCTTTATATTCTGATTGACTTTTTGGTATCTGACTCTTAGCTTCCTTTCTGACTATTCTGTTCTCTGATTTCCCATTATTTTGGCTTGGATTATCGTGTGCCCGTCTTCTGTACTCCCTTGACCTCTGGATATTCCTTTAACTACTCTCAGACGCAAGTCCGGCCACTCTAAGGTTCCGGTAAACGTCTTCATCTGGGTTTCACTCTGTGTGAAGGGGTCACTGTTGTGACAGCAACTGTGTGTGTGACTGCCTGTAACTGTGTGTGAAACTGTCTGTCTGTGACCATGTGTGTTTGTGCAGGATAAATGGCAGAGGGAGTGGGAGTGGAGGATAAATGGCAGAGGGAGTGCAGGATAAATGGTAGAGGGAGTGGGAGTGCAAGATAAATGGTACAGGGAGTAGGAGTGCAGGATAAATGGTAGAGGGAGTGCAGGATAAATGGCAGAGGGAGTGGGAGTGGAGGATAAATGGCAGAGGGAGTGCAGGATAAATGGTAGAGGGAGTGGGAGTGCAAGATAAATGGTACAGGGAGTAGGAGTGCAGGATAAATGGTAGAGGGAGTGCAGGATAAATGGCAGAGGGAGTGGGAGTGGAGGATAAATGGCAGAGGGAGTGCAGGATAAATGGTAGAGGGAGTGGGAGTGCAAGATAAATGGTACAGGGAGTAGGAGTGCAGGATAAATGGTAGAGGGAGTGCAGGATAAATGGCAGAGGGAGTGGGAG